TGAAGCCTGGATCTTGACCAGATAGCAGTTCACTTCCATCTCTTCAGCCAAGAGATGACTCCCCAGTAGAGTAATGGAAAATCGAAGCTCCTAGACTATATTCCACTAAAAAAAACATTCCCCAGCAGACTCCTCCTCGGACAGCAGGAACAGAAATCCCCACAAAGAGACTTCTTATGAAGTCAGCATCTGTTTTGGATGGCATCTTTAACCCCATCTCCGACATTTTTCTGTCATATTTTCCAAATGGCATCTGTAAGCCCATTCCCATTATTATTCACCAACAGTCTCACTTAGGGCGAGTGCAAATTTCTGGGCACTCTAGTGTTCAATCATGTTCCACCTTCAGATCACGAAAGGCAGACAAGCCAATCTACATCCTCAGATCTAAGAAGATTGAACAGGGGCAGCTGTTGTACCCCAAAATTTTCCCTCCCATTTTCACACAAGACATACTCCTAGAGGTTCTCAATTGCTCAAGGTTGACCAAGAATTGACCAGACAATTGTCCTCCTAAGGAAATGAGCCCCCAACTAGGGTTTCAATTTTCATCAAGATGGTTGAGCTCCAAGGATCCAAAATGTTCTCATTGTCCTAATATGTCCTCAAGATCATCCATGCCAAATTTCATGTCTTGCATAATAAGTTTGCTCAGTCAATTGCTCAAGTATTGGAAAATCAATTATGTTAGGTCAAAAGTCAATTGTGGCCCATGTACAGTCAAACTTCAATATTTTTGGTCAACATCAACATTTTGAAGTGATATCCATCATTTGATCAAGGGTTGATCATGATTCCTCAAGAAATGCTCCTAACCCATCAAAAGTAAAAAATGGCAAATTAGGGTTTCTATAGGAAAAGTCAACCAAACTTTGACCAAGCATAATTTTCTCACACTTTATCAGAAATTTTACAACCAAAGCTCATTTTGAATATAATCCAATTCCCTACAACTTCTCTTGAGCCCTCAAGATCAAGAAATGCACCATTTAAAAGATACAAGTTCATACATTACAGGTCATTTTTAGAAAGTTAATAAAAGCCACTTTTTGCAAAGACCTTTAACATCAAGATAACATCTTTAAATTCAAAATTGATCAAAAAATGGATTGAAATAGACACCTAGGGCTTTCAAAAAAGTCCAAGATCATCATCATGAGATAAAAATTGAGCAATTTATGGCTTTCCCAAGATGGGAAAATTTGGGAAATTTCAAGAAATATGCATTGAGCAAATTTGAGTTTTTAAGGCAATGGCTCATTTTATTGGACTTTAAACATCTTCCTAAGAGTATAGAGGACTCCTAAAAGCATTTTTGCATAGTCTTGACTTTATTTTCATTTTATATTAATTTTATTTAATTAAAAATCAAATAAATCAAGATTATTACAAATTATATGGTTAAGGCTTATTTTAATGAATGGAGGGGCCCCAATTTTCGTGTACAGCAAGGCCAGCATGTCCACATTCGCGCAAGTTTGAAAAATGGACAAGATCCCACACTTTTGGCCAAGGTTATAAATTGGTATTCATGGAATTCAAATGTTTATCTATGGATGTTACAAACTTGTTTTTTCGTGTCTCCTCGTCCCTCTCTATATAAACAAACACCCAGCAAGCATCAGAGTACACACACAGAGCCTGGGGAACCCTTGAAAGTTTTGCAAAAAAACACCAAATTTGTCAACTTCGAATTTCAATCTCCAGCCTGTTTTAGTCCTAAACAAAGATCAAAACACACTCCTGGAGGTCCCCTGAAGCATTTGCAACCATTACTAAGCTTTGAAACATTACCAAACACATCAGTCAATTAATCGTTAGATCACTAACCTCAAGATAATATAACTGAAAAAACACACTTCTCACACTTGCATCCTTAGGGTATTCCTCACTTGGTTGCCTCGGAAATTGTCATGTCCCTCGAACGCCGAGATATCTTAGCGAAGACCCTTAATTCTAAAGTCATCAAAAAGATCATGGTCCCTAACGTCCCTCGAGTTGCCTACAAGAAATGATCTTGTCCCTCGATGTTGCCTATATGATGACAGTCCCTTCGAATGCTAAGATATTCTTACATGTTGCCTTCGATGACCATAACGTCCCTTTCGATAGTCCCTCAACATCCGACGATAGGGATACCTACTCATTAATAGTAGGATAGCACTATCTAAAGGGTAGGAGGAAAAGAACATCCTTTTCGAGTAGGTAGATAATTGTTAGGTACTTGCTCAAACCTGAAATTATTCACACTTACACACTTTTCAAAAAAAACTATTTTCAAAAACGCTTTATCACACTCTTGAGGAATGATATAAGAGTTACCATAAAGCAAACTAAAATCTTTCAAAACACACAAACACAAATAGTTTTCAAAAAATGAGCAAGTACCTAAGATCCCGTGGAAAACAACGGATGGAAAGGGTTCTAAAACCATCCCTTTCCATAATATACCCCCTTACTCAGAAAATCTCGAAAAAGGTATTTTCTGTTCTTTTCACCCTTTCCTTTGTTGGATAAAAGATAAGTCGGTGGCAACTCTTTCTTACCGTGACATTTGCAAATAAAAAACGCAAAACCTGTATTAAACAGTCGGTTCTGCCACCATATCACAAAATGGATCATCTACCTTGAAATGGATTTGTTGGTACTTGAACTCAAATAAAGAGCAAGCAACTTGAGAGATCAATAGCTTGAAAGTTCAGAGATGATAGATGAAGAGAGATGCGAAGAAATATTACTTGACAATGCGGAAAGTGAGCTTGAAATTTAAAGAGAGAGAGAGGATTGGTTTTGAGCTTGGAAGGATGAGAGGCTTCGTGTGAGAGAGAGAGAGAGATAAGAGCTTGCTTTCTGATTTTGTTTTTTTCAAACCCATGATTGTTGAATTCAAATGCTTTATATAGAGTGAGAGATGAGAGAGTGAGCAAAATAAAGAAATGAGAAGTGAGAGTGAGGTGTTGTGTTTTATGTTATTTTGAGGGTACCATTATGCGTTTTGGATAAGTGAGGCATGTTGGGGGCATGAGCTAGAAGCTGGAGCTTTGGTTGGAACGAGATTTTCATGCATGTCCATGTAATTTTCACTATTCCATGGTCACATATTTACCTCTTTATATCTCCCTCTATGGTGCATGAAATGTCACAAAGTTTGAATAAAAAATGGAGAGGACATTTCATACTCCAACTTTGATGTTCAAAATTTTCCAAAATAAAGCTTGAATCAATGAGATAATTGGCTATGAACGTATTCTTACAAACTGCTTGATGAAATGTCAGGTCTGAAAGGGTATGCTACGCGCGCGTGATACCTTGTGCTGGGAAAGAATTCAGCTTGCATGGTTCCTTCTTCTCACAATTATATCTCAAAATGTAGGAAGATTTTTGAGAAACTTTCTGAAGCAAAGTTGTTCCTCACATTTAGGGCTTGATATTTGATGTTGTACATTTTCCAAAATAATGAATATTTCACATAGAAAAGTGATGATGAATGCACGCCCACAACATGTTTGATGAAATTCCTGGCCTAGCGCGCGTGACTTGTCTTGTGCTGGGCAAAATGAAATTTTGAAACTCAAAATTCTAATAACCATATCTTTCTCTACACTTAACCATTTGAGATGATTCTTGAATGAAAAATGAAGAGAAAACTTCAATATTCAACTTTCATGTTGCCAACTTTTTGATTTGAGTCCAAATGGTCATTCAAAATTAGACATGGAGAAGTCAGATTTTTGCATTTTTATCCAAAATTTCACTAAGTGTCTGTTGTACCCCAATTTTTGACCTAAGACCCATTCTTATTTTGCATTTTTAAACATAAGTCAAGGTCACGAAATACAGTCGGTTTTAACCTCTCACTTTCAAGCATTGACTATGCGAAGATTGTCAAGTGTTTTGAACATTTTGAGCCTATGTATCACTAATTTCTAATCGCATACGAAGGTGTATGTTCATGTTTCCTTTTGCTTCATGTGCAGAGACAGGTCTGAATCAAGAGCATCAGGTGTCGCGCCTCAATTAAGGTTTTGAGTCCCCCAAGCCCGAAGTACGGTTGATTGCAGATTCTCGAAGACTGATTCATCAAGGCACAACCGTTGCACCCTAAATTTCGCCCCTAATATGTTTTAGTCGCACTTTCATATCATATTTTGTAAATATCTTCATTCATCACATTTTGCATCATTAGTCGTATTTAAGTTGACCAGAAAAAGTCAGTTTAAATCAAAGTTTGTATCGTCTTTCAGTTGTAAAATACTCGGCATTTTGCTTCGTGCATTTTTATCTATTTACTCATTTGTTGCATTGCTCCAAGTTATTTATATGTTGATAATAAATATATTTCGGTTTTATAGACAAACTGTTAAAAATGATTCAACAATGTGCGAAAATTAGTAGCGAGGAAATATTTCAAGTTTTCACCTTTTTACCGATCATTTTATGAATCCGTGTTTCGCGTAGATCATGACGGTATGCTCGCTTTATTTTTTCGGTACAGTTCGAAGTCTCGTTTTTAACCTTAAACGTCTGTTTAGTCTGATATTTTTATTATTATTTTATTTTTGATTTTTTTGACTTCTTGAATATTTTTTTCTTTAATCTTTGTGACATGTAGATTATTTTAATGTGTTCATTTTATTTTTTTCGGATAAATTTTCGTCCGTTTTTTATCATTTTCGGTCATTTTGGGTCTTTATTTTTTTATTCATAAAATATTCAAAAAAATTATTTTTAATTGAGTTAATTTAAATACTTTCTGTTTTTATTTCATTTTTATCATTAAAAGGGATTTTTAGTCACAAAATATATTATTCACACAATACTCTATTCCTATTGGCTGTTGGATGAAATTGAGGATCGATACACACACAATACTCCATTCCTATTGGCTGTTGGATGAAATTGAGGATCACCTTCACCATTCTCTCTTCATGCCATTACCCTTCAATTTCTTCACTCACAAAAAAAAAAACAAAAAAGGTGACAACACAACAAACTGCATATCACCACACTTCAACTTCTCCTTCAATCCCCCCACCTAATGTACAAACCTTACCTTCCATCCACCGCATACCCACCACACTGTTTCACCAACATAACCCAGCAATCCAAACACTCCCTCTTTTTCCCTTCATCTCGATTTCGCTAACCGTCTTCCAAATTCCCTTCATTCTCTTCACATACAAACATCTCACGATCTCCTTTCATTCAAATAAACCTTTCATCAAACATTTGATATGCTGAAACATAGAAACATGAACCTGAAAAACCCAACCTCACAGTAAACTAACACTGCACATTTTATTGACCATAGCAACCATATTTGCTTTGTTTTTTTTTCCAGCAAGAACAACAATTCAAAACAATGAAAAAACAAAGAAAACTGAAACGTGAATCAAATACCATGTCTTTCTCTTTTGTTGTGTGCAGGTCACTATGGCAGAATCAAAATAGATTTTGAACCTGAATTTTCCGGTGAAACTTCTTCCGTTCAACTCATTCAACTCTCTAAACATAAGCTCTGGTAAATTCCCGTTCCTCCGCAGATCTTCGAAGAAGCTGTCCTCTTCTTCACATCGCCAAACCTTCCTTCCCTCCGCGCTATCACCATCAACATCCCCTTTCATCTCTCCTTCCGTCCTTCGCCGTAAATCTCACACATAATCTCAGTAATTGCGTATTCCTTTGTCCTATCATCACCGCAACCATGGCGGCGCCCGAGAACCACAACACAAACGCTCCGACCAAAACCAGAGAAGATGGAGAACTCTCTAATTCCGATGAGGCTGACGAAAACTCCAATGGATCTACGGTGCAAGCCACCCTTGCTGCAGGGTCCAGTTTTGTTCCTTCGGTGAAACCAAGTACCCAAGGCATTCAAGGAGGCTCCAATAATATACAGATGCGAACAACCATACAACCGATTTCACAGAAGAGCATAAAAAAGAGCCAGTTACCCCTTAAATCTTCTCCATGGACTGGTCATGCAAGCGATGATAAAAATCTTGTGATAAGCTTTTTTGATGATGACAGTGGTAGTAGTGACTTTGAAAAAGGTATTGTTGTCGCGTTGGAGAGAAATGTCAAGCGACCTAGCTCATCCTTGGAATATTCAAACAAGTTACAGTTACCACAAAATAGTAGAAGTTTGCAGAAGGAAGTGCCCAAGAAATTTCCTTCTAATCGTACATTTCTCTCATCCTTGGACTATTTATTTGTTTAGTTTAGCTTTAATTTATTTAATATATTTCATTAGTTAATTAAGTTAATTATTTATTTAGGTTAATTAGTTTTAATTAATTAAAAATATAAAAAAATTAGTAAATCTTATATTTAGATTTAGTTTAGTATTAATTTAGATTTTTTTAATTAGTTTCAATTTCTTATAATAATATTTGTTTTTTTAGCTTTATTATTTAGTTTAATTTAATTTGGTTATCATTTGAGTTTTAATCTTTATCTAGTTTAGTTACTAATTATAGAATTTTCATTTAGTTTATTTAATTAACTTTAGAATTTTAAATTTAATTTATAATTAATTTAGCAATTTTTACAATATTATTTAGTTTAGAATTATTTTAGTAATCTTAAGTTAAGTTAAAATTATTTTAGTAACTTTAGGATTTTATTTCATTTAGGTTTGACTTAGTAAATTTTAGAATTTTATTTGTTTCAGTTTTGACTTAGTAAATTTTAGAATTTTATTTGTTTTAGTTTTGACTTAGTAAACTTTAGAATTTTATTTGTTTTAGTTTTGACTTAGTAAACTTTAGAGTTTTATTTTGTTTAGTTTTATTTTAGTAACTTTAAGATTTTATTTCATTTAGATTTGACTTAGTAAATTTTAGAATTTATTTTTTAATTTAGTAAAGTTTAGAATTTTATTTGATTTTATTTAAGTTAACTTTAGAATTTTAGTTGTTAGTTTTAGTTTAGGGACTTTAGAACTTTATTTGATTTAGAATTAGTTTAATGAGTTTATAATTTTTATTTGATTTAGAATTAGTTTAATAAGTTTAGAATTTTAGTTGTTTAGAATTAGTTTAGTTTTCTTTTAGAATTTTATGTGATTTAGATTTAGTTTAGTAACTTTGGAACTCTTTTTGTTTTAGATTAGCAACCTTAGAATTTTTATTTAGTTTAGATTTAATTTACTAATTTTAAAATTTTTAATTTAGCTTAGATCTAATTTAGTAATTTTAGAACTATTTTTGCAATCTTAGAATTTGTAGTTAGTTTAGAATTTTTTTTAGTAAGTAATCTTAATTTTTTTTAATTTAGTTTAAATAACTTCTTTAGATAATTAGTTACATTCTCTTTTATTTTATTTAAATATCTTTGTCATTTTAATTTCTCGATGCCTTTAGGTCATTAATCTGTTTCGTTATATTTATTTTCTTGTGAATTTTGATTGCTTATGTTTTGATGTCTATTTTATCTTTCTCGCTCGATTTACTCCAAGAAAAAGATTTAAATCTTGTTGACTTCACGTCATCAAATACATCTCATCCGATCGTGCGAATACCCTTTTTTTCATTTTTTGTTTGTTTACTATTTTGCTAAACTCAAGATAATTTCCCCAAAAGACCCCATTTTCAAACTCACACCTTTTAAGTCCAAACTTCGACACTAGGTCGTCGTATCTTCAAAAATCTCGTCCATACCCATCTTTCAGCCAAACGAACCATTTTAATCAAACAAACAATTTTAACCAAAAAAACAGATATTTCAAAAGGTTCCTGCGGAGTACCGCAGATGCATTGGGTGCTAATACCTTCCCATTGTATAACCAACCCCCGAACTCTCGATCTCTTTTCAAAACGCATTGTGTTTTCATTACTTTTAAGTATTATTATACATTGCATACTTTAGGGTTTTATTTCGCTCTTTTCCCTTTTCCCTTGGAAATAATAAAGCGCGGTGGCGACTCTTGCTTTTTGTGAGTCAAGTTAATTAATAGCTTGATCTCCGATTTTAACCGCTACAGTGTCCAAAACTTCCAAGCTTCATAACTTTTTTCCTTTCATTTTTTGGACTTGTGGCCTCTCCTACAAAGTTGGATAATTTTTCATCGTCTTTCTAGGCATATAAAGTTTGCACATTTTCAATAAAAATTGAGAAAGTTATAGCCAATCAAAATTCAGCCCTATGAATACTTAGAAAAATTCCAAAACTTCAAATAACTTCCTTGATAAGTTATCTCCAATTCACACTTCCTCTTGATATTTTTGCCACTATTGACTATTAAATGTGAGAATAGGGATATTGAATTGACAGTTGACCAAAAGTCCAACTGGTCAACAGTTGATTTTGACTATCTCCTGACAAAATGACTATTTTACCCCATTTCATCAATTGAACCCTTTCAAGCCAAAGTTGATGATCAAACTTCCAATTATAGATGATCATGGTCATGTAGAGAAGTATGGGATCAAGTATTTCCCAAAAATTCAAAGATTTCCTGAATAAAATCCAAACCCTAGTTTTGATCATCTGTGCTAGGAGATGGTGAGATGAAGGCAATTGTGCCATTACCTACAATATGATATTCCAAGAGATAAAATATACACATTTTAAGGTTAGTTAAAAGCATACATGTACAAGATACACAATTCAAGGTGCTTCAAAGTTCTTGGTGATTCCCATAGGCAAACCTAAAAATAGGATGCAGTAGAAGAAAAACCTCAAACCCTAGTTTGTGATCTGGTTACATTGTGATGATATGAGATGATAGAGGAATCTTAGGGGGCGAAATTGGGGTACAATAGCTTCCCTTATTTAAGTGTCTTCTATATGGATATAAAAAGATTAAAATCTTCATGTCGACGCGATTGAAGATACTTAAATATAAAACAAGCCCTATTTTTGGCCCTAAGATACCACGCAATGCTTATGACTATGCATGCAAAGGAAAAGATCCAAAAGGACGCAAGACACCACTGGGGATGTAGCAAAGGAAACAAGAATCAAAAGAGAGACCCGACCAGGAAAATAAATCATTGGTGAACAAAAGACTCAACTCTATTAAGGTAAAGCCCAAGGAGGAGACAAGGCATCAACTCAGCCAATGAGGAAAGACAATAAAGGATAAAAGTGATCGATGGATAACTGTGAACTACTAACTTAATAGTCGAAGGTAGAAGATAAAAAAGATACCGAGTCATAGATGACGGTAAACTACCAACTCAATAGTTGAAGGTAGAAGATTAAAAAGACATTGACTCAAAGATGACGGTAAACTACCAACTCAATAGTTGAAGATAGAAGATCAAAGGATACACCAACTTTCACTGTAGGTAGAGATGAAAGAATGACACCAACGTTCACTGAAGGTGATCTACCAACTTTCACTGTAGGTAGAGACAAATGAATGACACCAACATTCGCTGAAGGTGAAACTACCAACTATCACTGAAGGTAGAGAGAAAAGAATAAAACCAACCTTCATTGAAGGTGAAACTACCAACTTTCACTGAAGGTAGAGAGAAAAGAATAACACCAACATTCACTGAAGGTGAAACTACCAACTTACACTAAAGGTAGAGAGAAAAGAATAACACCAACATTCACTGGAGGTGAAACTACCAACTTTCACTGAAGGTGTAGAGAAAATAATAACACCAACATTCACTGAAGGTGAAACTACCAACTTTCACTTAACGTAGAGAGAAAAGAATAACACCAACATTTACTGAAGGTGAAACTATCAACTTTCACTGAAGGTAAAGAGAAAATATAACACCAATGTTCGTTGAAGGTGAAACTACCAACTTTCACTGAAGGTAGAAAGAAAAGATGACACCAACATTCACTGAAGGTGAAACTACCAACTTTCACTGAAGGTAGAGAGAAAATAATAACACCAACCTTCAATGAAGGTGAAAACTACTGACTTTCACTGAAGGTAGAGAGAAAAGAAAACACCAACATTCAGTGAAGGTGAAAACTACCGACTTTCACTGAAGGTAGATAGAAAAGAATTAATTGATAATAACAAGTTTCCCCAAAACTATGGCGTTTCACCTAGAACGGGTCTCAACTTCTTCTTTAGCCAAGGCATTCCGCCTGGAAAGGCTAGTATAATTTGTCTCAAATAAAGAGAATGCCACTTGTAAAGATTTCTCAACAAACTGTCTCTTCCATATTGAAAAGACTTGCCATCCATTAGAGTAATTTGATAACAAACTGCAAACTATCCACTTATAGAGAAGATATCAAAACGTAACATCGACTTTTATTGAATAGGAATGGTAAGATAATACCGAAAAATACCAATATTAGGGGTGGTAATAAATGATTGGCACCGATATTTATCACTGGAAAAAAATGAACTTCTTTAGAGAAAAGTGAATCTCAATGAAGGACTATCTCCCATAATAACGAGACTACCATCCATCAGAAAAAGATCTCAACGACGAACTATCTCCCATAATGACGAGACTACCATCCATCGGAAAAAGATCTCAACGATGAACTATCTCCCATAATGACGAGACTACCATTCATCAGAGTATAAATGAATCTTCTCAGGGAAATAACAGACTTACCGAGGAAGTAAAAGTTGCTCAAATAAAGATACATGCTACTTGCTATTATGGGAAGGATTGTAAAAGATGACTTCCTGGGG